TGCACAAGTCCAAGTAGATGACGTATATGTATCTTTTGTTTAGGTCAGAGAGTCAGCTTCAGCCAGTGTATTTCCACAGAATGATATCTCGGGCTGTAATCTCATTATTTTTTTTTTTGTTCTGAAAACCTATCTCTAACAAGCTTTCTGTCACATGACACCAGCTTCTGTCTTCTTGTTTTCAGCCTCTAAATTGCATTAGGACAGCTAAAAATACATACCTTCCATGCAAGCAATAGCTGTAGTTGCTAAACTGATGTAATTTTCTGCTGGTGGAATGGAAACTTGTCTCTTCAACTGTGATTGGGCCAAGCTTTTACTGTTATTGGTGGTATCTGTTTTAAGTAGTATGTATTAGGAAAATGTCTAGAAAGACCTATCAATTGTGCATTGTATCATAAAAAGAACTCTTGATTAGGCTAGTGTTGGAAAACCTGTTAAAATAAGCTTGAGTAATGAGGTCAAAGGCTTAGGCTGAAATTCTCTACTGCCTGACTTTCTTTTGTTTTCCTTTGAAACATGTAAAGCTATTAATTTGTCTGCTCCTTTTGCTATTGGTACCAATTTCTAGCACTCAGGGTTAGAAACTTTCCTACTTCTCTCTTACGTATGAGAACATTCCTGTCTCTCATGTTTAGAGAGCAACACCCATTCCTCTTTCGTCTACTGAGGGATTATTATGAAAATTTGAATACAGTAAAAAGCACCACTATTAAACTAATGTGCTAAGAAAAAAAATTGTTTAATTTTATACATAATGTACAGGCAGTCTCAATTCTATTAGCTGATATTGTTGAACTCATTTATAGTAGTTTTATCTGCTAACCTTTATCAAACTGAATTGTTCTGGGTTCTTCAAGAAATGAATCAGCCCGGTATTTGTCTATTCTTCCTGCTCATTTTCCTGTTTAACAATAGCATGTTGCTACAGTATGATAAATTAAATGTAGTAAAATAAATGAACACTTGTGCTTTTTTTTCCTCTCTTACTTTTCCTCTCTTACTAGGTGTTTTGGCAGACCCTATCACTCAACAAACAACTTTCTCAACACCTTTGGCTCCTGGAACTGGTTCTGCAATCACTTTTCCTGAGGATTGTGAAGACCCCAGAGCTTCTACTGCCCAAGGTGGAGGACTGTGGGCGTTTATTAAGGTATGGGGTTTTTTCTGTTACCCTTCATGTGGAATTACCATTTTTTACTGGCTATAAGAAGACGTACTTTACTTTCTACATGCATGTTTTCTGTCTTATTTCTGGCCTCATGTGCAAGCTGGTTATTTTTAATAGTGGTTGCTGAAACTATGCTACTGCTTTTCCTCTGTATAGAAGAGGGGGTCTACACAAATGCAGGTGTTCTAGGTTAATTTTAGTGCTTATGACAGGAAGATATGCATATCTAACAGGGTATGTCACATGTTCTTAAATCAGGTGAAGCTTTAGAACATCTTTAACACCCAAAAGCTAATTTTTACTTCACCAGGAACTCAGTACAGAAAAAGATAGTGTGTTTTACCTCACCAGAATTTTTTTATATCCTATTTGTCATTTCCTAATGAACTGAGTTTGATGTCTATGAGATGCAAGTCCTGCCTGTTCTGTAACAAACAAGGCTTTTCAAGGAGTAATAAATACATATTTCTTCCATCAAGGAACAGTTTACTTAAATCCTACAAAATATCTTAGACTTATCTGTTCCGCTAGAAAGCGTGGAGTGACTTCTTCTTGTGAATTTCCTAGGCAGAAGAATGAGAAATCATTAAAAACCAGAGTGTGATATGTGCTTACACACATCAAGAACTTGATGGTATCAGTATAATTAAAGATCAGCTGGCATCTGGGAGACTAGCTGGTAGTTATTACAGAAATGCATCTTGGATTCCCTGTTGAAGAGCTTACACAGTAGTTGCAGCAGTTATCTTTATTTCTGTTCTTGAAGTAGTTTGAATTGCCCTTTTTTCTCTTGTGTTCTTAAGAAATCATTTACCTTTCTTCCAGGTTCCCTTCAAGCTAGGTAATATCCAAGACTCTGACAGTCTAAAACTGACAATTTAATGGTCAGGAATCCACTAACACTGTTTTCAGTTCCTTTTATCTGTATGAGCAGTCTCATAGCAGTTACAAGATTGTTTTCTACATAATGTATCAGAGGGAAAGTTGGATACCATTGCAGTCATTGCATCGGAGAGCTTGCATATTTGACTTTTTAAGCAATAAAGACAGCCAGAACCTGAATTTTCAGAAGATTTGTGTTATCACAGCATTGTGATAACATCATAGAATCATAGAACCATAGAATGGTTTGGGTTGGAAGGGACCTTAAAGATCATCTAGTTCCAACCCCCCTGCCATGGGCAGGGACACCTTGCACTAGACCAGGTTGCTCAAAGCCACATCCAGCCTGGCCTTGAAGACATCCAGGGATGGGGCATCCACAACGTCTCTGGGCAACTTGTTCCAGTGCCTCACCACCCTCTCTCTGAAGAATTTCTTCCTGATATCTAATCTAAACCTCCCTGATTTCAATTTGTACCTGTTACCCCTTGTCCTATCACTACAGGCTCTTGTAAAAAGTCCTCTCCCAGTACTCTTGTAGGCCCCCTTCAGATACTGGAAAGCTGCAATGAGGTCTCCTCGTAGCCTCCTCTTCTCCAGGCTGAACAAGCCCAATTCTCGCAGCCTTTCGTCATAGGAGAGGTGCTCCAGCCCTCTGATCATCTTCGTGGCCTCCTCTGGACTCGCTCCAAGTGGTCAATATCCTTCTGATGTTGTGGGCTCCACAGTTGGACGCAGTACTCCAGGTGGGGTCTCACCAGAGCAGAGTACATGTTTTGGATTGGTATAAACCTATGGATTATTTCTCCCTGCTAGGTTGCTGTCTTCCACAGGTAGGTGAAGCAGCTACTTGCTGCTCAGAAACCTGGTTATCTGCAGGACATGTATAATGGTTTTAGTTAGGTAGCCAGGCTGCTGGTTGGAGAAGTACTGCTTAGCTTTGCATTGCTGCAAAGTTGCTAGAATTTGAAATTCCTACTTAAAATGTTTCTGAGGATCTCACAGCTTTCATTTTTTGTTAAACCATCAGATAAACTTTAAATTGTTAGAGAGCTGAAAGAGGAATATGAGCTTCCCTGTTCTTAATGGCATCCTGTGGGTATATGAGTAGTCACAAAAACATATGTATTACTCACTGAGTGCTACCATTCAGAAATACTTGTGTTATATTCAAGACAAACAAGTGGCTACAGTGGGCTCTGGCTTGAAAAAGCTTAATTGTGCTGAAGTGAATAATTGGTTTTGTTTTCTTTATGAAATTCTACAGTCAGGCTTAGTGTTACACACTAAGAAGAGAGTGAGAAGAGTACCTGAACCCAGTAGTGAACTATTTCAGCATGAGACATGTGATAAGATAATCTTTATTAGTAGCTGTACAGTATCTCAGTAGTTGTAGAAGTGTGGGTTTTTTTCTTTATTAAGCTTGCTACTAAGAGATAGAAGGCATTCAGGAATTGAATGGGGCTTTGAGTAACATCATCTAGTGGAAGGTGTCCCTGCCCTTGTCAGGGAGCTTGGAACTTGGCAATCTTTAGAGTCCCTTCCAACACAAACTGTTCTATGATTTATGGGGAAGAAGCTTTGCTCACAAAAGTTATTCTGAGATAATTAAAACTACTCTGATTCTGCAGTTCTCTGGAATACTGTGTAGGTGTATTAAGCAAGCACTTAGAAAAATGTATGCGCACAGAACTATCCTGTGTAATAGTTGTAATTTAGTGAAACAAATACTAGCTTGTGCAGTTTTAACAATAGACTGAAAGTAGTCTCTTTACTAAAGAAATTTTATAAAAGGTTTCTGTAAATTAGTTTCCAGTGCTTTATCTCTCAATGATTCAGTGTTTGTATCTTTCCTTTCACTCTATGATCTCATCTGAATTTAAATAAAACTTCGTTGAGATACAGACTCATTAAGCCTATTTGCAAGACACAGGACAGTCTTTGTGTTTATATGAATTTAAATTTTCAGGTTTATATGGTTTGTTTAGGAAAACGAAATTTTTAGGTCTGTCAGCAGCTCTACCTATGATCTAGCTGGAGAATGTAGAATATTTTTCCAGCAATGTTTAGAATCTATTTATAAATTGAGAATTTTCAGCTCAGTTGCTCTAGAAATATTTGTTAGTAATGGCCAATTCAAAAATAGATCCTACTGTCTTCAAGAAGGTTAGAAAACAGAGACTCTTCAGCTTGAGGTATCACAGTCTAATCTAGCTACCTAGTCTGATGATACCTATACTGGGAATCTACAGCTTTGCTAAATGCTCAAGGCTTCTGATCCCAGAATAGGACTAGATCAAGTCACCCTCACGGATAGAGCTGTTTCTGCATTAATGCAGAAGAGAATGGTAAAGATTGTTAAGTTGTAACTGAAGAGTCATGCACTGACAGTCACATCCTTTAGTGTTTGTGCTGAGGAGTGAGATACAATAGGTGTTACAAAATGTAAATATGGTAAGAAAAACACAAAGCAGCTTAATATTTGAGGTTTGTTTGCTTGTTTTTTCATTGTAACAATTTGAATTTCGTGGGGAAAAAACATGATAATATGGTAAACCATTTACTTAAACTTAGGGTGTAGCTGAGAATCCTATGGTGAAGTCTGTTCTTGATAAAACCAAACATTCAGTGGAGACTATGATCACAACGTTGGATCCTGGCATGGTTCCATATATCAGTAAGTATTTGTGACAAACCATTAAGTAATACATGTAAATGTTAGAGAGGTTAATATAATAGCACACTACTTCTACTTGAAGTTTGTGTATGTAGTGTGTTAATTCAAAGTCTTAATACTGTACTGATTTCTCAAATGTATTGTCCACTCTGGAGGCTGATTTTTTTATGTATATCTTGAGGTTCATTTGATTCTGTATTCTGTTATAGTTCAGATAGTGGCATAGTAATATCCTTTAATTCAGATTGTGAAAGATGAAGGAGTTACAAATCAAAAAGAATATTAAGAGACCCGTTTTATAATCCCTAAATTGCATACTGTTTTCTCCCACAGTGTCTTATTTAAGCCTTATGGAGCTGAGTTTAAAATACACAGTATGTCTTCTGTTGGAACACATGCTTAAGTGTAAGGTATAACATTAAAATTAAAACAAGCCAAAAAGGTAGGCATAGTCAAGAAGCATAAGACAGAGGTATTTACATTGTTTTGGGGACTTTCTTCTGACTTTCAGCTGTCCCTTCTGTAGCCTAATAAGGCTAACCTAAAAAATATTTATACTATTTTTAGGAAATTTGGCAAACTTGTAGCTCCTCAGTCAGTTAGTAGGAACATTAAAGTTCTGAAATGGTCTGCTAAAGTCTGAAGTATTGCTAAGCATTGAGCCTGGAAGGAAAAGCATAGCATTTCATTTACAGCTTGAAAATTAATAGGAAGGAGCAGCATTGTGGTATTCACCATCTTTTGTTTTACTTGGGGCACATTACATGTCACACATAACTGACCTGAGATTTCTACTTCATTAAAATACGGAAGCAAAAGTCATAATTTATCCAGGGTGGTGGTTTGGGTTTGGCTTGTTTGTCTGTTGGTTTTTGTTTGTTGTGGGATTTGTTTGTTTTTTCCCCTTCTTCCAGCAGTCCGTCCTCCTTCTTAGTTGTGCCAGTACTGCCCTTTGTTTGCATGTAGGTGAAGCTGGGCAAGAAACTGATAAGGCTGAGAAGAAATTATTAAAATGTTTTTATTATGTTTTCTGAGCTGTTTTTGAGCTGGACCTATTCTGTGATCCAGCTAACTACACTGCTGCACTACGGTACTAATCCAGTGGACAGTATGGAGTAAAAGGGGAAGATGACCTAATTATTGAGGAGTAGTTAATTGTCTTATGTTTAAGGGAAAATATCCCAGCAGCTGACTAGTGAGGAGATAGGGGGATATGAAATCAGTAAGAAGGCCCAAATGAGTAAGTATTTGAGGGGAGTAGTGGGATGCGATGCAAAGGTACCATAAATGTTGATTATACACAATTTGGTGAATTGTATTTAAGATTTCTATTACAGTCATTACTGTCCAGGTTTAAAATAGGATCCAGTACCCAGTGGTGGTTTGCATAGTTTGCCACAGTATTCATTGGACAGAACAATGCTTCCTAGAGGAGGAAGTAATTCTAATAAAATTCTTTGCTTGTAAGAATCCATTAGAGTAAGCAAGTTCAGTGGTTATCTCAAAGTTCTCTAAGCTTGTGTTGGAAGGGAAAGCACCTATACACATTGTAGCCATTAATATATTGCCCTTTTTTTTTTTTTTCCCCCCCGTAGTTGCAGGTTGTGGAAATAGGGCAGGGATTTGTAAACTTAGTATTTACTTCCTTTTAGAAAAGTTTTCTGGAATCAACAAAAGCCATGTTCTCAACAGGAAGTGTCTCCACTTCTCTGCTGTCTCTACACTTCTGCATTTCCAAACAAATTTCAGATTCCTCATGCCAAAGCTTGAAATTACCAAAGCTTCTGGATGAGGTGGTTGAAATTTTTTTGTGTGTGTATGTGCGACAATAGTATTTCTGTAATTTTTTTCTGGAAAGGAGCTGAACTGTTGTTGTTTTGAAGATGTCATGTGAGGCAAGCACCTGGAATAGAAAACTTCTGTGTGCCCAGGAAATGGTCACTTTATAAGCACAGCATCAATGCTTTTGTAACAAAAGACAACAGGGAATCTTAAATTGTATCTAGAACTGTCATTTCAATATATAACACACAAGATACAATGAAATTTAATGTTCAAGTCTCAGGACTTAATGTGACAGTTTTGTCTCTGAATTTACTAGGGTATATCTAGTTCTTATATTTTAGGTTTTAGTATTTCCATATTGCCATAGTTTGTGATGGATGTTATCACAAATTGTTTCTTTGAATGCATGTCATATGTTTGTTTCGCTTCTGTAGTATCTGTGATGAACAAAGATATGCTTTTATCTATGATGATCCTTAATACAAAGGAAGAGCATCTGTATTCTGCTGTTACAATACACAAAAATGATAGAGCACAAGTACTATTCTTAAATTACTATGCAGTAATTTACTAGGTATGTTATGATTTTATTTTTAGTTGCCTTAAAAATTCTTTAACAGTTTTTCTATCCCTGGGCACTCAAGACTGATTTCAGTAAAAGCCTGCAGTCACTTTTAGGCACTTGTTTACATACGTTAACTTGATCTCTGTCAAGAAGGAATCAATGAAAAAAGATACTGAATTTTTTGGCCCTGTTGTTACAAAATGTTTAAAACAATGGGCTAAAGTTCAGTGATGTGTACACCCAATTCCATTCAGTAAAGCAGCTGATAAATAAAAAGTTTAAAAATATCCTAAAAGCCAAATAGAATGTTTTACTACTACATGTTTAGTATGTTCTGGCATATCTCTGGTGATTCTTCATAAAAGATGTTTCCAGCAAGTGAGGTCTGCTAAGTTATACAAGCCAAAGAATAAATTGGCTTTTTCTTTAAAATTTAAGCTTCAGGCTTAGCATCAATGGAAGAATTTTTCTTGCATCAGGATAAATACTGTACGCTTTGTCAGCATGTGTAATTACAAGGAGTGCTGGTGTTCAGAAGCAAAACCTTCGAGCTCTGTTCCTCTTTTAAGAGGTAGCTTAACATGTTTTTGTACAATCAGTGAGCCTAGGGAATGACAGGTTAAAAGGCTGTTGCTGCACCAGTTTGCTGATCTTGTCATAAGAAATGCCCTGCTGGATCACAGAATCACGAAGTGGTATAGGTTGGAAGGGACCTCTTGGAGGTCGTCTTGTCCAACCCCACTCCTTTAACAGGGCCATCTAGAGCCAGTTGCCCTGGACTTTGTCAAGGCAGCTTTTGAATATCTCCAGGGATGGAAACTCCACCACTTCTCTGGGCAGCCTGTGCCAGTGCTTAGTCGGCCTCACAGTAAAAAAGTTATGGATGTTATATGGAACTTCCTGTATATCAGTTTGTGCTAATTGCCTCTGGTCCTGTCTCTGGGCAGAACTGAGAAGAACCTGGCTCCACCCTCTTTGCAGCCTCCCTTCAGATATTTATAGACATCAGTAAGTCTTCCCTGAGCCTTTTCATCTCCAGGTTGAACATTCTCTCCTCCATCAGTCTTTCCTTATTGAGGAGATGCTCCAGTCCAGTGGTTCATCTATCTCAATGTTATGTCTTCAGCAGAAGCAACAGGAGATACTGTATAGTAAATGACAGTAGATTAGGTGATTTCTGTAGCCCTTTCTCCTTGTACTCCTCCATCATCCACAGCCCTTGGAGTAAGAATGACAAGAGGCATGTACATATTTATTACTTCTAGTGCCTGCTTGTGGACATACTGTCTGTTAATTTGTCCTTTACATTTGCTGATGCAATTTACTGATGAAGCTTTCTCTGAAGTCACACTCTATGTCTGAAAAAAGTTCAAGCTATTCTTAAAAAAGCTTGCCACAGCAAGGAAAAATTTTATGAAATGTTTTTGCTTAAATTAAGTTAGACAATAAAAGTGATCCAGCTGTGATAAAGACAACTGTGAGGTGTAATTGAACTCATCAGTCTTTGGTAGTAGTTTTAGATATTTTCTGATTTGTGAACTAATTTTGTTTTATTCTAAAAAGCTTAGCGAAAACTCATCCTTCCTTATGGAGATACCACCATATGGAAATAATTCAGGAATACTCAACCTTTTGTTTCCATAGATATTTAATATCTGAAACCAGGATAAAGCTCTAGGGAGGTAGACAAGCAATAAAATGACACTGAAATTCACAATCCAAGAACAACTAGAAAGTAATGTGAGCCTTTCTTTTAAAGGTTATATAGTTGGATGGCTGCTCACTGGATTTTATGAACTGCATCTGTGTTCTTGATCCCTTTCCTAGAGTAGAATTTATTTGTCACACTAATATTCCCTACCATTTCACAGAACACAAAAACATCCTTAGAAATGGATGTCTGAGTTACTCCTAAATCCATGAATTTTCATCTTAAATGAGTGATACCTTTTTTTTTCAGGTGCTGGACAAACCATCAGTTTGGGTTGTCTGTCTTTCATAAAGAATCATTTAGCTACTCATCACCATCAATTTTACTTTCTAACTTGTTACTTTTGCTTCATGAAAGAACTTCCGTACAGTGCATGAGACAGAGAAGACCAACTGAAGCATATTCTTAAGACATAGAATGTATTTGAACTAGCTTATAATTGGAATGAGGAAAAATACATTCATATTTATATATTTTACAGAAACTGGGGGAGAACTGGACATAGTGGTTACCTCTAATAAAGAGGTGAAAGTTGCAGCAATTCGAGATGCCTTTCAGGAAGTCTTTGGCATGGCTGTTGTTACTGGAGAGGCTGCACAGTCTAACATCGCACCCCAGCCTGTGGGCTATGCTGCAGGTTTAAAAGTAAGTTGATACATAACTATACTAAAGTACCTCCAGTGTAAAGAGGGAGAGTGTGGAAACAGTCACCCAGAAGAATTGGATTTTCCATAAAGGTAAGGTCAATTTGAGGGATAGGTAAACATTTTCTTTTTTTTTTTTTTCTTTTTTAATTGCCACCTGGATCATTAGTTTAAAGCTGCTTGTTGAAATAGTTTTTGTGTCTTTTTGCAAACACATTCACAGCAAATGAGGAATATTTATGTCTGTTTTCTTACACTGTCATTGATTGCTGTCACATCTAGCATACACTGCAATATTACTGTAGTTTCAAAGTATACCAGGCATTTCTTCTTTGTGTATTACTAGTGCACCGTGTTGGGAATGTTAAAAATGAAAAAATGAAAAGACACTTTGTGAGACTGAGCAGACTCCTGACTAATTCTGTAGATCAAAGATAGTTTGATCAGCACTTGTCAGTGATCTTTCTGAACAGATCTGTGTTACCTTCAAAAAATAAGAATTCACTGTGCAGCCTTGCAGACAGCTGTGCTGGCCCAGAGGAAGGTTTAGCAAAGGTTTTTTCACCAGATTTAAAAAATGTACATGTTAGGTGTACATGCAGCCACCTCCTTGGCCAATAATTAAAACCAACTATTTAGTATTCTCTTTCTTAAGAGCAAATCATAAGCAAATCAGGTAAGCATAAGGTAAGCAAATCATATACTCATTAAAAAGAAAATATTTTTTCCTAACTGCTGGGGCAGTGTTCAGAGCTGAGTAAAGCCTATCCTCATAGCAGTATAGTAGCTTATAAAATTTTATATTGAGGTAAAGGTAGATAATGTGTATGTTCCTTTGCCTGTTTAGGTACTGCAGTGTAGTAATATTTATATTACAACTTCACAGTGAGAACAGGCTTGGAGTGAATGATTCCTACATCTCAGTTGTATAGGTACCACAATAAAGAGATTCTCTTCCTTGGTCTTATAAAGTTGGTCCAAAATCTTAAGGGATACAAACCTGACAAACTGTAAGCTGCAAAAATGTCAGTGTGAGTAACAGAAATAAATACTGTTTCTTTAACTAATAGTGAAACTTGGCACAGTTACAGATCAGTAATTCCTTGCATGCCAATCTAGGTGTTTTTCATGGAAAAATAACAAACTAAAACTATATTTAGTTTTTGCATAGTTTTTGTTACTGTCTGGGGTTCCATTATGGCTTTTAATGAGCTTTTGTTACCATTTAGGGAGCCCAAGAAAGGATAGACAGCTTGCGTCGGACGGGAGTAATACATGAAAAACAGCCTGCTGTATCAGTAGAAAACTTCATTGAGGAATTGCTTCCTGACAAGTAAGAAGTTTAAATAAATACTGGGGGCAAGGAGGGGTTCTTTGACGCAAAGGAGAGTTGCTGGCAGTATCACTCTGAACAGAAGAGTCTGTCTTCAGTATTGCTTTGTCAGACTTCATCTTGATGGTGATGTTCAGCTTTTTGTTCAGACATCTTGAGACTTCAGTACTCAAAGTCCTTGTCAGTTTTTTCAAGATTCACAATAGAAAACCACAACGAAATTACATTGAACTGACAAAAAAAAGGAGCTGTGAAGGTTAGAATTTAGCTAGTTAGTTTGCTCACTCTTGTGTGTACACTTTTTCTCTCCTCTCTCTGCAATTCAGAAAACGTACTGGGAGATGTTCTGGCATTTGTAGTAGTATAATTTTACAAGATAATATATTATCCATTTTCCTTTCACTGAGAATACTTACTACTTCTGATTTACACTACACAGCCGTAACAATGGCATTTTCAAATACATTAGAACTTGATTTTGTAACATGTTTTCTGACAGATCGTTCTTGAAGTAGCTGTATAATTAATTTCCAAAACATGAAGGACAATACCATGTTTTTCCTAATGCAAACTTAAGTATTTTTTTTCCTAATGTTTGCATTTTTATTCATGTGATGGGCTTTGTGGTTTTTGGTTTTTGGTTTGGTTTTGGGGGTTTTTGTGGTTTTTTTTTTTTTAAATAACTACTCTGCTCTTGCTCTATTTTTAAACGTACATTTAGTGTCCTTAGTGGAAGATGGATGGTGAATTTTCTAAAATAAATAGAATTAGGAAATGTTTTAATTTTTGTTTAGTATTTATTTCCACCTAATCTGATTCAGACATGTTATTATATTTCCATGAAGGAGTAACTGTGAAAATGAGATATCTGTTTGAAAATAATTGCTGTTCTTGTCCTTTGAATTTACTCATTCCTAAATCTGAAAATGTTTCTTAAAGTACTTGGCATGAAAGAGTTTACCCAGGACTGCAGTGTTATTGAAAGGATGCTAGCTCTTCTGTCCACACATTAGAGGCCTCAAGAACATCTTGAACTTTGATATTAGTTACATTAGAAACAAAGAATAACTTAATGCATGCTTTATTTTTTATTCAGTAGGTAACATTGAAAGCTTCCATGCGTGGTGTTGCACAAACATTGGTGCTAGTCACTGATTAATTGTTACTCTGAAGTGAGCATTGTGATGTTACAGTTCTAATGTGGGGAATGCAGTCAGTGTTTCACTGACAGTGTTTACCATACTTACACGTCTGAAGGATAGGAGTTTCCAAGTAAGCGTCCACCAGTACCAAGAGCTCTGCACCTAACACTTAAGAGATCAGGGACTACTCAGAGCTAAACTTTGCAGTTGTCCATCAGACAGCTGAAAGGCATTGCTTCCCTTTCCAATTGCATGTCCTGAGTACTATTTGCAGAAAAGGTTGCAGACATTTTATGTATATTTTACCCTTTCGATTTGAACTCCTTTATTAATTGAGAGTAAGTTACCTTTAACCATCAAGCTTTCTCAGTAGTCTTTCATGGTTGCAAGTGAGGTAGTCCTCTATCACAGAGTATTCCAGTGCTCTGTTCCCAGCTACAAAGATGGTGCAAGTGAAGTACTTCCTGTCTTGATCCAGTAAACTCTTAACATGAAGCCTATGTCGCCCAGCCAATTGTTTCTTAAGAGTAGTCTTGCATTTATTTTTAGACCAACATCCTTGCTTCCCACGCTTTAAAGAATAAAATACAATTTATATGTAGACATGTATATAGAATATATGAAACAACTACAGTGGTATTTTCCTTTTTAAATTTTTTATGAATCTTGGTCTTCATTTTGTGTTTGTGCTTTTCCCTGTGGCAACTCAACTGTAAAACTGTTACAGGAATTGAATGCTATGAGGTGGTGATGGTAAATTGCCCTTGGTTTTATTTGGATCATGTCAATGTTGTTAGTTTGTTCATAAGGAAAAAGGATTTAAAGTGTTTTTTTCTAGTCTAGGTAGGGAACTATTTTGGGTAGCCTTTACTGTGTCTGCTACAGCAGGCACCATCTTTTCTGGGAGGTGCAGAAGTGTTTCTTTTCACTTAAATGGTTGCTATAGGATGAGACATGCCAAAGTTCTCCTAAACATAGAATATGAATCATAAATAGATTTCTTTTTTTTAATTGTTAGGGAAGGTTATTTAATGAGAGAAGTCTTTCAAAGATGGAATGAAAACTGTAGCATAATAAATACGGACCACAGATCATAGCTGTAAACATGCCCACCCTACCAGCTTTCTTTTATTTCTTTGATTTTTAAGTTTCATGCGTTTTACATATTTTATGTATATTATGTCTGTATATGCATACATATGCATTATAATATAATTTGTACAAAAAAACCTCTCATAGAAGCAAATTTTAATTGAAAAATACTAGAACACTTTGATGAAACTCATAGAATCATAGACTCATAGAACCATAGAATGGTTTGGGTTGGAAAGGACCTTAAAGATCATCTAGTTCCAACCCCCCTGCCATGGGCAGGGACACCTTCCACTAGACCAGGTTGCTCAAAGCCTCATCCAGCCTGGCCTTGAAGACATCCGGGGATGGGGCAT